AAAAAAAAAAAAAAAAACACTTACTTTGGAATAATTTTAGACTTTTGTGAAAATAGTACCAAGAGTTCTCATACACCCTTCACTCGACTTTCCCCAAACTGTCAATGTTTTACATAACCATAGTACAATTATCAAAAAACTACTGATAGAGTACTATTAACCTATGGATTGTGCCAGTTGTCCAAGGAATGTCCCTTTTTCTCTGGCTCAGATCCAGTCCATGATTCCATATTACATTAATTGTCTTTAGGCCTCTAGCCTGTGAGTTCTTCAATCTTCCCTTTTATGATTGACACTGGAGAGAACTGGCCAAGTATTTTATAGAATGCCCCTTGCATTGCATTTGTCTGATATTTTCTCACTATTAGATTGAGGGTTTTTTGGGCAAGAATACCAAAAGAGTTCTGTGCCCTTCTCACTGCACTGTATTAACAAACATGATGTCCATATGTCTTACTACTGTTGACTTTGATCACTTGGTGTTTAAGGTAGTGTCTGCCGTACTGTTCCACTGTAGTTACTGATTTCCCCTTTGTAATTAATAAGTAACTTGAGTATACTCAAAATCAGTCTTGGGTTCACTGATTTTGACATCTGGATTGTTACTGCCTGTATTACTGTGGCATTTGCCACATGTTTATTCACTGTGTATTTTACATTTATACCAACTAGAATCCTATAAGGAGGAGCTGTCTTCCCCATTTTTTAAAAATTGTATCAGTGTGGACTCAGGGATATTTAATTCCATGGGTCAGTGCTGTCATTTATTCTGTTGCACAAATTGTCCCAGCTTTGGCAATTGGGAGCTCCTTTATTATTTTTTAAATATTTGTTTTGAAGACAGCATGCATGCAAGCAGGGGAGGGGCAGAGAGAGGGAGAAAGCATCCCAAGCAGGCTCTGCACTGTCAGTGCAGAGTGTGATGCTGGGCTCAATCTCATAAATCATGAGATCATGACCTGAGCCCAAATCAAGAGTGGGACGCTTAACCGACTGAGCCATCCAGGCGCCCCTTTTCTGTCCTTTTCATAGCAATGTATAAATCTTCTGGAGTTACGGAGAGAACTTTCACTTGGCATCATGGTTCACCCAGAGTGAGGCCCAGTAAATGTGGGTTGGTTTGTGCCCTTCCATAATTTTTACTTTTGGCCTTGTAAATAGAGACCCCAAATGTTGGAAGAACTATTTTCCACCCCACCTCACTTACTTTTCAGAGATTTTTCTACCTGCATGAAAATAAATGAGTACTAAAATTTTCTGTATTTCATGAGTTAATATGGCACTTGGATACTGCCAATTCTTTTGACTGTTGTTTGAAAAATGATACATAGACAGTCCCTGACTTAGGATGTTTTGACTTAAGATTTTCAACTTTACACTGGTGCGCAAGTGATAGGCATTCAGTAGAAATCATACTTTGAATTTTGATATTTTCCCAGGCTAGCATTATGCCAGAAGAAAGATACTTTCTCCTGGTGCTGGGCAGCACAGCTGGTGTGACTGCCAGTCCCATCACATGATCAGGAGGGTAAACAACTGATACATTTAAACCATTTAGTGCCCACACAACCGTTTTGTTTTTCACTTTCTGTAAAGTATTCAATAAATTATATGAGGTATCCAACACTTTAAGGTAGGCTTTATGTTAGATGATTTTGCTCAACTATAGCCTAATGGAAGTGTTCTCAGCACATTTAAGGTATGCTAGGCAAAACTGTCATAGGTTAAGTATTAAATGTTTTCAGGATATTTTCAACTTGATGGATTTATCAGGAGGATCTAACCCCATCAGAAGTTGAGGAAGATGTATATTTGAAATGTTTGTGTCACGAATGTAGGACCCTTCTGATAAAGAGTTATAGTGTCCCTAGGATTCTGATTTTTTTTTTTTTTTTTTTTTTTTGCCTTGGAAAGTAATGCCACTTAAAACTGTGTCATTCATCTTTAGTGGTTTCTAGGCAGCTGGTGACACTCCTTCTGAGAAGCCTGCCTTTAGAACCGTTATGTTACAGTAGCTGCTGGGCTTGCGTGTGGAACGCTGACGTCATTGTGGGGTAAGATACCACAGCGAGATTAACTGAATTGGAGAAGGTCTCACAAACCTGCAGGGCCCTGCCTTCACGTTTCCG